TCTTGCCAGACAAATAAAAATACCTTTTTGTTTTAGTTGTAATGCTATACATGCTCTAATCTCTAATTAATGTTAGTACTATGATATCTCATAAACAGGTCAATAGAACATAATGGGGAAAGATAGCATATCAGGTGTGTAGGGAATAGTCACTATTTTTAAAAAAATGACAGAATTTAGTAAAAAGAAAAAAGATTTTCATTTCTTATAAGGGGAAAAATGTTTTGCCACTGTTTTCCAGTTTAGGAGTGTAGCAACCTAAATAAATACTTCTATACTAAGGTGCTACTCCAGAAGAATAAAAATAATGGTAAATATGTGCTAATTACAGTACGAGATAATGTCAAAGAAGGCCAGGAATTTTCACATTCTCAAGATTGTGTGATAAGCAGTAGTCTGGGGCTAGTTGAGCAGACTTGAGCCAGGGAATCATAGCCAAGGAACGCAAAGAAAAAGCCCATCAAAGCCAGGAAAAATTAGTTCTTCAAAGCAGGCTCTCAACCCAAACAGGAAACTTCCTATCCAGGAGGTCCAAGTAGTCAATCCTGACTGTCAGGGGCAAATATTTAATCACCATAACGATGTTCCAAACTAGTACTTTGAGGCATTTATGCCTGAGCATTTTCCCCCAAAGTCTTCTATAGTGTGGCAAGCTGACTATATAAGCATATGGTATTTGCAAATAAGTGTATCAGTTAAAACTTGATGCAATTTCAATTCCATAATTTGCTGATTCTGAGCCAATTCAAACAGAGCAAGATAGACATTTTGAAAGATGACAATGCAGTTGCTTCAAGGTGGAATCGGTATTGAATTCTATATACCACAATGGTATATAAAGCAACTTAACTTTATTTCCCAATGACTTAACTAGTGGCTCTTTGACTGTGCTTGCCAGTAGCCATTAACATAGACTCCCAAGTTGGACAGTAAACTATAATTAACTACAGTTTCCTTGGATGTTTTGCCACTCATATGAATATAAAAGAAAGTGAAAAGTTGCTAGCATAGATCCCCCAAACCTAAGATCCTGACTATTAATCACAGTGTCCTGTCTCTACATACAGCTCATTCAAACAGAAACTGTTCCATAGTTTTGGAAGGAAACAATGTTTTTCCAGCATTGTCTTAATATGAGATTGATATTATAACATCTGTAATGATGGAGAAGATACAAAAGAAAGTATTTATTGTTTTGTGCTGGACTCATTTTTTTACCTCCCCAAAAACTGGAAAACTCTTCAGTGTTGAAGAACTTGGAACTATTTTTTTCAATAATACATTTTTTTTCCTATGGGGAGACCAATACAATGTTGTACAGAAACCATCAACAATTCAGTTTGTATCATTCATACAGTTAAAAGCATGTAATAAGAAAATAATTTCATATATTGCAAGCCATAATAATAAACGGCAGCAGCAACTAAATATTAACCACCAACAACTTTTCAGACCGATCAAGAACTCTCAAGTCTACTTTTTCTCCTTTTTTGCTGCTGAAGCAATAAAAAGGGGAAAACCAACATCCAAATGATCTTGTTTATGGTGGTTAAATAAGCTGCATGTGCTTAATCCGTTAGAGTTTAATGAATTTATGACTTGCTTTGGAATTTGACAAGGGCCATAAAAGAGTAATTAACATTTATCAGCGTGTTTGCTCCGCCTGCACACACCCTCCTCCTCTTGGCCCCTCTCATGGCAGTGTCGGGCACCATAGAGAGATATAAAAGCAATCAATTAATTTTTAATAATCTCAGGGAAAGATTGTAGAATTGCAGTATGAACTCTGGGAGTGTCAATAAACATGCCGAAGGTCATCTACTTTCTTCCTCTATATGCTTGTCAGTAAAGTGGAAGAATGAGACACACATATCAAAAGCTGCTATGGGAACAGGTGATGGAGCAATTCAAAAAACTATTCATCCAACCACTTCACCTGATTGGCTAGTATGTAGTCCATTATTCCAAACTGAACAGGAAGCCGACCCTATCTCTACTATATTTGCATATTACTAGATTTCAATGTTTTCTACTGTATATAATTGCCCAAAATATTATATGTATTAAAGGCCTTTCCTGATTGGCCTAATTACAATACAACTACAATTACAATGATGTTCTCCCAGCATCTTTATTCTGCTATGTCACTATGATACCCTTTTCATCTTGTTCCCATCTTTCTCTGGCATGACAATGCCCTAACAACACTCCCCTGAGCAAGTTTTGGCCAGAGGCCATGTTTAGGCCCGTAGCTACTCAAATGATATTTTCCATTATATTATGGCTTGAGTCTCTCCATGCAGACAATGTAGAGTGCATTGATGAGAAAAGGGAAGGCAATTTGCTACAGAAAAGTGCCTAGTGGCTCTGTCTGTGGGATCCTAAATCTCCTCCTTCCCTCCAGTCTCTGACCATTGCACCCACCATCCATTCTGGTTTTGTATGACAGTGGGCTCATTCTCCTTTTAAGTTATTTTTCGAGTGGTTATGAGTACTTTGAAAGGTGATGGTTTGCCTACTTGACTTATGCCATCAACATCACATCTAAAAGTATAGCACACCAATTGGTGATGGCCTTGTATGAAGTGGCTAACATTAGCCAGACTCCAAATCAAACTGCCAATCACATCTCTTACTGTTGATATATAATGTGAGTCAGCAGTAAAGAGAACAATAGCTTTGAGGGCATTGTGGGTGCACTTTGGATGCATGTTGGTTTCTTGCCAGCTCCCTCAGGGGGAGGCAGTATGCCAATTTTGTAGATTCAGCCCAAGACAGCCTTCAGTCATCCTTATTTGCACCAGGATTATAGTACTACTTTGTCTTATTTCAACTACATCCAAGGGCAGCCTCAAGGTGTACAAAATGTAGGGCATATTAGCCATTACCAAGGAAGAAGGTCAAAAGACAGAAGTAACTGGAAGCAGAGGCAATACAGACAGGTTTCAGACTGGTAGACGTGACAGCAAATTTTATGATATCCAAGATGAATGGATAATATTTTAAATTGAGTATCAGTGAAAGTATCAGATTGCATTTTTAACTATCAAGACAACGCTGAAAAAATTCCAGGTGGCCAAAAGAAAATTATGCATTTCAAAGAATTATAGAAATAGCAGGATTTAACTGTGTTTTGGTAATATGCAATATCCAGTTATCTCTTCTCCCAGTCAGCAGACCTGCGTTTGTGAGCCAAAGAAGGAAATAGACTAGGATAGCTGTTTCTGTCGTACAAGGCCTTTTAAAAAATTCCTTCCAGTTGCCATAAAAGAGGCTGGGAGATTTTCACTCCATCCCCATTCCCTGCCTTTTTAAAAAACAACAACTTACATCTGGAAGTTTTAAAATCTGCACTGGCTTTTTTATTAAAAAAATTCCCTAGTGTGACCACAATTGGCACTGTCACTGGTGACAGACTCATGGGTTTAACGACCCTGAATTCTTTCTGCCCTTTTCCCATCATCTCTGTTTGATCTGAGGGTGGTAAAAACTGAGACACAGGTGTGAGTTCCTGGAGAGATCCCCTTTTCACAGGAAGAAGAATCAACTGACTGCCAAGGCGCTAGGCTCATAACATAGGGCAGTGGTGGCGAACCTGTGGCACGGGTGCCAGAGGCGGCACTCAGAGCCCTCTCTATGGGCACGCACACCGTTGCCCCAGTCCTAGGCCTTCAGCTGGGTTTTATAAAACCTTTTCGCTTTAGGCCTCCGCTGCCGTGTGTAAAAAAAAAAAGGTTCAATCAATCAGTCAATTTCAACTTCTCGCGGAAAAAAAAAAGATCTTGCAAAGTTGGAATTGATTGATTGAATTTTTTAGTCCCACAACCTGCCGTTACCACCGCAGCCACGCCCACCCAATGGGCCACACCCAGCCCATTGGCCACACCCAGCCAATGGCCACACCCACCCAGCACCTGACGATGCATAAGTGGGTTTTGGGTTGCAGTTTGGGCACTCGGTCTCTAAAAGGTTCGCCATCACTGACATAGGGGAATTAATTGACTAAATTAACTGTTGAGTCAAGCCCCAAATACAGCTTGTCTATTTGAGGAAAAAATCTAGCAGTCTTTCAGTTATTTAAGTAAGTTATCAACATGTTACATAGCTTGTATGAACCCCCACCCCCCAGGGATGCTACATACATACCAAATTTTAATGTTAATGTTAATTTTTAATTACACTATTTATCAATTATATTATAGTGTATAGCTCCTCTTTGAGGAAGAAGGGTGGTTTAGAAACATGAAATATAAATAAATACATTCATGGTATAATTGATTATATCATATGCACAGGACCAATATATAATTCGAACTGACTATAATCCACGATGCATTTAGAATATCTGAACAATGGAAAGACAACAGTAACAACAAAGGTTAATTTGCAGTAGAAGCAAGGAAATATGGAACAGGAAAAATGTTCAGTAATCCCTATAGAAAGTATCCTTTCCCTCCCCCTGAAAATTATAAATTATAAATAGTTTTTAACAGGTATTACAGTAAAATTCTAATTCTATACTGCACAATGCTCACAGAGGGATTCATAATGTAGAGATATGGGCTAAAACCTTTGCAGAGCAGGTATGTATTCTTACTGGCATTCGCTAATGATTACTGTAAGATCCAGAATGAAACATTTGCCTGACCCAACCGGAAAGTGACTGTTTCATTTTCGTTTCTCATCTAGTATTCTAAGGAAAAAATTTTAAGTGATTTTCACTCATAACTACCTACTTCTGCTTATAATGAATCTTTTTCCTAAAACACAGCAGATACAATATTAAACGCCCTTGATAAAACAATGGCAGATTTGTTCCCAGCAATTTTCAATCAAATGCTATAGTACAGTTCAGTAGTGATACTTTTAATATATTTTTAGCATCTTTTTATGCCTTGACTATATTTTTATTATTGTCCTAATATCTACACAAATTGACGATGCTTCTACTGCTTTTCCAAAATATTCCACAACAGTAATAAAAATAAATAAACACTTACAGAGGGGGAAAGTTAACGCCATGCGCTGGCTGGCCCCCGCAGACACTGGTGGCCCTCCTTGGCTGTCGCTTCTATCTGGCAATCAATTGACAAGAAATTGAGATTATGAGATATGACAATCACCATCAGAAGGAAGACCATTAATCAACTGACTCCTATAGCTGAGCAAGTGATATTTAACAGTAGAGATTTTCCAAATATAGTTACTACAGTACCATGGGATTAGATATCCAAAGCTGCAGCTTTAATCTTATAAAGAACACACAAAAAGAACTGCTGTATACAGACTGTTTTTATAGATCCTGATACCTAATATTTTCTCACAAGGAACCATATAAAGTATAATGAGATTAAGAAAGAGGAATGTAGAAATAATGTACAAGTTTTATATAAATTGAACTGTAGAATAATGCTGCACAGTATTTCAGAAACATGCAGAGGCATAAATACAGCACCTGTATACAACTCTAAAACTACTGGCCCCACAATCCCACAGAAGACCTAATTATTTTAAGGAACTGTGGACAGATGTTACTTTCACACCCTTGCAAACATCAATGTAACTTTTCTATGTTATTCCCAAAGCACTGTAACATGTTTACTATAGAATCTATTTAAAGAAAGCTAAATGCTGTTAAACCATCTCACTAAATGGGCATCACATTTTCATATGTAGGCAGCTTGAGACTATATTTACTTATTTGCTTTATATACTTTCTTCTGTCCAGGAGCCCAAGGAAAATTATCCACATCCTCCTCCCATTTTCTTCCACAAGATAGGACAGGTCGGTCTGCAAATGACTGGCTCAAAAGCATTCAGTGAACTTCTGTGGCTGAAAGTGGATCTGAACTAGTGTCTCCAAGTGTAAGTCCAATGCTTTAACCCAGTAGTTCTTAACCTGTGCTGTACAAACCTTGGAGGTGTGTGTGCAATGTCATCGCAGGGGGTCTGCGAAGGCTTGAAGAAATGTTAGGATTTAAATCTTGTGTTAAATCTTGGTGGTCCGTGGCCACAGAAGGTATTTAAAGGGGTATGTGTTGAAGAAAAGGTTGAGAACCCCTACTTTAACCACTATATCAGCATGTCTCTATTCCTTTCCAGAGCAACAGCTATTAATAAGCTAGTCACCCTCTTACAAGATCAGACATGTTTATGAATCCAGTTCATATTTTGTTTCTCAGAGATTTTTAATTACTGAAATATATCTTGCAAAGTGCCTTAGTTAATGTTGTTTGTTCACACACAACTCATGCTTGCAATTTGGTATAAAAATTGACCTCCTAGCTTGATCACTACAAAGAAAATTTTGGAAACAGTCTACAAAATCAAATAGAACCGTGGGAAGTTCTAACAGACAGGGACAATTAGTCTTTTTTGCCTATTTCCATGCTTTTACCATCCCCTCTCTAATCTTCCTGTCTTTCAATTTCTGACATGTCATTCAACAGAATTCTCCTGATCAATCAAATTAATACATTAATGTTTTAATTGAAATTTTCACATCCTTCAATGTTACATTAACTATCTATATTTTGTATGATTAATACTAGCATTCCCCATTGTTTCTTCAGTTGCAAAATGGTGCTGTTTCCTTAAACAATATAAGGGAGGAATGAGACAATAATTTGGCACGTGTGATATACCAGCTACATGTCCTTAACTTTAAAAATTAATCTAAATCTGAGTATTCTATTTAAACCACTTCATCCTATCCTAAATAAATAAAAACAAAAAGTACAGATTAATTTACAGCTAATCTCTTAAAAAGTTTATCCAGTGTAGTAACTGAGACCTGGAAGTAAAATCTTTATTTAGCTTGCAAAAATTACATTAATTGTCAATAACATTAGTTATAAATGAGAATGGAATATTTTAAATATTCTCTTTCTCTATAATTATAAAAACAAATCTCAATACATTTGCAGCAATTTTCAAAGTACATTATTCCAGCATTGAACTTCTACATGACTGTTAAGGCTGTTTTGTTTAAACATGAATATGAGAGTCATGGTTTTTTAACATTGTTTTATGAGATTTGGGGAGGGGGGTTGATTCTGGGCTGCCATTTTTATGTGAATTTTGTTGTTGTTTTGGCTTGAGAAAAATTTGTTTCCTTAACCAATTGGTTTCTTTGTTTTTGGATTGTGGTTAATTTATCTTTTTGACATTTATTACTATAAACTGCCTAGAGTCTTAGGAGGTGGGCAGTATATAAATATCCATAATTCATTAATTCATTAGTTAACATACAAAAAAATCTGAGCTGGCCTAATTTACCAGCTTTGCCTTTAGAAATAATGCATTTAGTTGTAAGTGCTATTAGGATACTAATTGAGGAAATGAATGGTTTATAGTAGTTCAGACTAAACCAAGCAAAACAAATCAAACCTGAAAGAGATATGATTCAGGTGCTGAGCAGTTGCCAAAACCTGCCTATAGAAGATATAGTTTGCTAGGTTTATACAATTGAAAGAGAGAAAGTCTAGGTTAATGAGGTCTAGTACAATACAGACAAACATACTGATGAAGCTAACATGCCAACATTCCATGATGCTCCCATCAATGGCTGATATTCTTGTTGGGTCACAGAATTCCTATCCATAGAGGCCCACTGTTGTTAAGAGCAACTTAGGAATCATTTCCAGACACTCTACTGTACATGTGCACAGCCTGTTGCATAACAAACCAAGGTCCCATTTCCTGTTCCCCCAGAACCGTTAAAACCTCACAAACCACTAGGAAGAACTGTTTCCTGCAGGTGCCTCAGGATCATGAATCACACCTTGTCAAAATGCTGGGTATGAACCAATGGAACAAGATCCTTCAAAAAGCAAATGCATCTTGCAGTCTTGTCCATGCATAACTTTCTAACTTGCTGATCTACATCCTGATCAGGAAGGGGTTAAATGAGTATTAATCAGACACTTTCAAGAAGCTTTGAAAACTCATCCAAATATTATAAAAAATGCCTTTAATCATCTAATAGCCCAAACGGGGAAGTGATGGATGGGCTGATCTTTGCCTGAACAGATGAGCCTGGGGATGTGGGCTTACAGGAGATGGGGAAAGAGACGATGACACTTTTCCTTCCTCCCTCCCTCCCTGCTTGGAGCAGTTAGAAATATGAGGTCACCCAGCAAGAGATGATAACACATTAAGGGCTCTTGAGAGATTGGCCTGTCAGCCTTGTTAGGAAGAGGCAATTGGGGCTGACTGTATAATTAAAGGCTGGAGAAAACCATAACTCACAGCAGTTTAGACAGCAATGAAGGAACTCTATCCGCCACGGTCTTTTCTGTTTGGAAAAACCACCTCAGTAGAAGTGAGCTTAGCTCCGTGTAGTTTGGGCTTCAGTGAGGCGCTTTCAATGAATTGCAAATTTGCAATTTCAATTGCAGTCCTTCTGCATCAAGCTTTGCTAATATGAATTTGTCACACAAAGCTACTACATTACTGTGTAAAGAAAAAGGAGCCAAAGACAAGATTGAAGATTATTCAAATAGCATGACTTATAATAGGAAAATGTCTCCAGTCTCAAGACTAGAAGTAATCTAAAATCACCAATTATTTTGCGATATGCCTAAACCTTGTCCTAACATAATCCAACTGGTATATCTGAATTATTTCCAAAGGCAGTTGTTTCATTCAGACCACGTAGCCCTGAAAAAGATGTTTCTAAGTCCCATCTGCTTAATTCTGAATTAAAAGCATCCAACAGATTAATGCTGTTGGCAATCATATTGTAGACCTCAGCATGGAGAATTCACTGTACAGGCATAAGGTATGGTGTTGCTAGTTTGGTACACTGTTGCTATATTACTATAAATTAATATATGAATAGTTTTCTTAATGGAAGGAAAGAGAAGAGGACAACCAGCAGGGAAGTGGATAGACTTAGTTACAATGGCAATTAATGCACCATTGGAAAACCTGAAGGATCAAGTTAGGAACAGATCATGATGGAGAAAATCTATGTGGTCACTAAGAGTCAACAATGATGTGATAGAACATAATCAATTAGTTCACTTAAAAGAACACCAAACTTCCTTGGGATATTAAGGATTTATTAAACTAAATCTCTCAATATAATAATTTGAACAGTAAACAGTCTACTTATCTCACTTGATTTTTAATGATGACATTCAAATGATGGCAGTATTTCATGTATGTTAATCTCTGGAATGCAGTTGGAGACAAGATATTATATACTACTTCAGACCCTCACTTCCAGTTCTTTTGCAGTGAAATCAACATTTCAGTGAATTTGATTATGAAACTCCCTTTGGCTCTGTATTGTTTCATAAGCCATGATGATGATGAATCATTAAATTAGTGTTGACTCTTAGTGACCACCCAGATAGACCTGGTCAAGGATGATCTATCCTCAACTTGGTCCTTCAGATCTTTCAGTAATGTATCTATTGCCGTTGCTGCTCGTCATCTTCTTTTTTCCTTTCTTTCCCCTTTTTTTCAGCATTCGAGACTTCTCAGGAGAGTTGGGTCTTTGCCTATTGCAGCTAAATACAGTACTTTAAACCTGGTCATTTGTGCTTTAAGCAAGAACTCTGCATTGGTTTATTTTGTGATCAGTTAGTTTGTTTTCCAGGCTAACCATAATATTTTCAGAAGTTGTCTCCAACACTAAAGTTCAAAAGCAGTAATACTCTTGCTTCTTGCTTCTCCAAAGTCCAATTTTTCCTTCCATAAAGAACCACACCATTGTCTGCATGATTCTGATTTTGTAGGTAGAGACCACATATTTTTTTCCCAAGACCTTCACCGCTAGTTTACCAAGTGTTAGTATAGTTTACCAAGTGTTAGTATACTAAGTACTTCTTGACAGCTGTTTTCTTTATGGCTGATAAATAAAGGCAGAGTCTATACACAATTTCAGTGTACTTCATTGCCAATTCTAAGTATGGTTGCTATGCTTGTGGTCATGAGTTTGGTCTTCTTTATATTTAATCTTATTCCTTTTTTCACTGTGCTTTTTAATTTCCATTACTAGAGCTTGCAGATTGTTTGCATTTTCAGCTATCAGAATAGAGTCACTTGTATAGTACAGGCTACTAAT